TTTTTGTTCAAGAGCAGAAATATTTACCTCATTCACTTGCTTAGACGGTTGGGCAAGTCTCTTGCCAAACTGTTGAGAATTTGCAGCCATGTTTGCAATTAGAGTTCTCGCAGCGTCCGGTGTCTTGTCAACTAAAGCACCACCGCTTGCGGCATCAATCATGCTTCTATCCATTGGGAAGAGTCCTTCATAAATGTATTGAATGAGTAATTGATCACTGATTTGATGGTGTGGGCAGCTTGCACAAAGCTTTTTGAAACGCTCCCAATATTCATACAATGAATCTCCATTGTTTTGCCTTATACCACAGATTTCCTTTCTAATGTTGGCCGCCCTTGAAGCTGGGAAATATTTTTCAAGGAACGCTGTTTTCAGGTTATTCCATGTGGTGATGCTCCCGGAAGGTAGATAGAATAGCCAATCCTTCGCTGAATCTTTCAACGAGAAGGGAAAAGCTCTCAACTTGATTTGTTCTTTAGTAACCCCTGCGGGTTTCGTACTTGAACACACCACATGGAATTCCTTTAAGTGTTTGTGAGGATCTTCACCTGCAAGTCCATGAAAAGAAGGCAAAAGATGAATTAATCCAGACTTTAGTTCAAATTGCACATTGGCATCCAGAGCAGGGAAAATGATGCATAATGGTTGTTGATCTAGATTTGGAGCTCCAAGCTCTTTTAAAGTATGATTTTGAGCCATGGGTTCCTCTTCTAAATCAGAATTGGCGGAAGGTTGGGGATCAGTAGCCAGATCACTAAGCTCCAATTTCCTCAAAGCTTGTTTCTTCCACCTGCGTACAGTTCTTTCAATTTCTGGATCGTACGGCAAGATTTTTTTATTAGCAGATCGAGTTATAGGCATAAAAAAAGAGGAAATATATTGCAGCATTTATGTAAAAGTAACGAAAGAAAAGATTTTTTAAAATTTTTTTTCCATGGGGAAAATGAAAAACAAATAAACAAATAAAGAAATAAATAATTAAATAAACACAAAATAAGCTAGAAAATCTCCCCGGCAACGGCGCCAAAATTTGGTGAGCTGTCGTAGGCTCCCAAATTAAAACCTTACAAACGTAGTAGCGGGAGTAAGGATCGATCCCACGAGGAGTAACTAGTTTAACTTTTGTGCTCAAGGAAATAATGGGGGGTTTGGAATATATCGAGAATAAATATTAAATAAAATAGAAATTAAATAATCGAACGAATAGAGCAATGAAAATAATATATCGAAAACACTTATAATAGGAGACCTTGGTTAGTAAAGATCCACCACCGGAATTCAACACTGATCATTGATTAATAAAGTAATTAATATGCAATTGAATATTTGTAGTGAAATTATTTCATTTCTGTTTTCCCTTAGTTGTAGGTAAATAAAGCACAAGCGGTTTAATTACCCCTAACTACTAAATAACCTAAGACAAGCGCTATAGATTTAATTTAATAGCAGCAATAGGAACTAAGAAAACCGACAAACTAAATAACACAAGCACAAGCGGTTGCATTTAATTTAGGAAAATATTCTACCCGAGTCCAATTATCACTAAGCCGTCAATAATTAACCCAGTTGCTACTGAATATTAGAGTAATTTGTAGCACAACATTATCTAATATAGCAAATAATTATATCAAATAAATAACTAGTAGGCCTCCATAGCAATTAAATGACACAATTATTTCAAATAACTTAGAAGAATATTTAATACTCAAATGCATAAAAAATATATAATAAAAATAAATAAATAACCTTACAGCGTTATGAACTCCGGGGCTTCAATTCACTAAACCAAACAAGAAATTAGCCGCGAATGGGCATTGATAACAACCTTAAAGAATATTCGAGAGGGGAAGAATGAACATTTTACAATAGGAAACTTCTACTATTTATAGCATTCTAAAAATAGGCCAGATGAATTTCAACCATCCATTTTAACCTTACGTCCGAGTCTTCCGAGAATGCCGCCGGAATTGTTCCAAATTTGACGAAGTAGTGCGCTGCATGGTCTGTACATAAGAGAAGAAAGAATTGTAAAATATAATAATGCTTCATTCTTTGGACTTTATTTAATTAAAAGGCTCAACCTTAGTCATTAGAATATTGTTTATTTAATCAATCCAAATTTAATATCCAAATTGGACCCATTTACTACTTATAAATATAATAAATATAAACTAATCTTAATTAGCTTTTTAAGTAAATTAATACAAAATAGATTATAAATCATTATATTAAATAAAAATTAAATTAAGTTAAATAATATAAATTAATAACTATAGCGCACTTATATAATAATAATATTAATCAAATTATTAACTAAATATTATTGTAAAGCACTTATTTAACTAATTAATAATTAAATTCTAAAAATGAAATAATTATTATATAATTATAAATAATTAATGCAAGATTATTATAAAGATGTACCTAAAATATGAGTGTAAAATATGCCCGTCAGTTTTCTTGGTGGGTTTTGAGTTGCCTGGATGCGTATGCTATCACCTTGCCCTTTTGCATTAGTACGCATCCTAATCCCCTTTTGGAGGCGTCGCTGAAAACTTCGAATCCTTCCACTCTAGAGGGAAGGGCTAGAACGGGTGCTGTGGTTAGTCTTCCTTTCAATTCCTGAAAGGCTGAGGTGCAGTTGTCGTCCCATTGAAAGGGGGTTTCCTTCTTCATGAGCTTGGTAAGGGGTTGGGCTATCTTGGTAAAATCGGGTACGAACCTCCGATAATAGCCTGCTAACCCTAGGAAGCTTCTGACCTCTGAAAGTGATTTTGGTGTGGGCCATTCCTTGACGGCGTGGATTTTGGTTGGATCCACCCTGATCCCCTCTTTGGTTATCACGTGTCCTAGGAATGCCACGTTGTCCTTCCAAAATTCGCACTCGGAGAATTTGGCGTACAACTGGTGTTCCCTCAGGGTCTACAAGGTTGTGCGGAGGTGTTTTTCATGTTCCTCCTTATCTCGTGAGTAGACGAGGATGTCGTCGATGAACATGATGACGAAGTCATCTAGGTAGGGACGGAATACTCGGTTCATGAGGTCCATGAATATAGCGGGTGCATTGGTGAGTCCAAAGGGCATTACCGTGAATTCGTAGTGGCCGTAGCGGGTTCGAAAGGCTGTTTTCCGAATATCTGGGTCGGCCACTTTTATCTGGTGGTATCCAGACCTTAAATCGATTTTTGAGAACACCCCTGCTCCTTTGAGTTGGTCGAACAAGTCATCAATTCGGGGAAGAGGATACTTATTCTTTATTGTAACTTGGTTCAGTTCTTTGTAGTCGATGCATAGACGCATGCTTCCATCCTTCTTTTTGACGAATAGTACTGGTGCTCCCCATGGTGAGGTTCTGGGGCGTATGTATCCTTTATCTAGTAAATCCTGGAGTTGTGCTTTTAGTTCCTTCATTTCTTTTGGTGCCAACCTGTAGGGTGGTTTCGAGATTAGGGCAGTGTCAGGCACCAAGTCTATGGTGAATTCTACTTCTCTGGTTGGGGGTGCCCCGGGGATCTCGTCTGGAAAGACATCGGTGAACTCGTTTACCACCGGAATGGTCTGAGGCTCGGCAGCCTTGGTGTCGAGATCTTCGACTGAGCACAGGAAGGCTTCGTGTCCTTTGGTCAGATATTTCTTCATTTTTATCATGTTTACTAGTTTGATTTCTAGGTTCTTGTGGGTCCCGTGGTAGGATACCCGCTTGCCGTTTGGTCCCCGGAAGACCACTTTTTGTACGCCGCACAGGATTTGTGCTCGGAATTTCCTTAGCCAGTCCATGCCCAAGATTACTTGTATTCCATCCAGCCTGAATTGTATCAGGTTGCTAGGGAATTCTACCACTTTGATGGTGATCATTATATTTTTGTGCATGCTGTCACATTTTATGATATCGCCGGATGCCACCTTGACTTGCAGTTGTACTCTTGTGTTGGTGTTCAAGCCGAGTTGCGCGGCGAATTCGGCTGCTATAAATGAGTTGGTGGCTCCTGAGTCAAACAGTATGGTAGCAGGGGTGGCGTGTACGAGGAAGGTTACGGAGACTATGTTGCTATCTCCGACTCTGGCTTTGCTTATGGTAAGGATCCTTCCTTGAGTGTTTCCCGTTTTCCTTGTGGGAGCCGATGATGCGGCCCAACATAATGAAGATCCATCAAGAGTACCAATTGGGCCAATCACAAGGCCCAAGTCCAAACGATTAAGACAACTCTTCATTGGTGATATTCAAAGATGGTGGAAATCCAAGTCAAGCCCATTTGCAAAAGATGAAGAAGATTTCAAGGCTCTTTATAATTGTTTAAGTGCTGATTTTGGTGATTAAATTAGGCCCAAATCAGCCCTATTATTTTTGGTCATCATTAATTTAAATTGTTTGGCATAAAAGAGAAAACACTAGTTGTATTTAGAAAGGATTCCTTAAATCCTTTTCTAAATAAAACTCTATTTACTTGTTTTCTAGATTAGGTTTAAGACTCTTTTTTCCATTGTATTTAGAATTATAATGCTGCCCCTATACCTATAAATAGGGCACATCCATATCAGTTTCAAGGAGGCTTCAATTCAATAAAATTCTTAAGTTTTTCTTTACACTTGTGTAAGAAACCTTATGGCTAATTGTGGACTCAATTAGTGGCTAGTCGTGGACTCGACTAGCAAATTGATTCGTGGACTCGAATCAATCTTACATTCTTCAACCTTAGATTTAGGTTCGTGGACTCGTTCTTGAATCGAAGGAAACTAGATCCGACTCTAGTTGATTGAAGATTGCAACATCGAGGTACTTGAAGCTACATGGGATTCTTCTACGTCTTTGAGGATTTCTCGTGAGGTTTAAGGTATTTCAATCCATCTCTATCCTTGCATTGAGAGTAATCTTGGGACAATACTCCATCTTTATTTGAACCTTGGACTAGGTTCATATCAGCCGGTGTTATGGCTTTGTAGGGCGAGGTGGCCCTGGCAGTCTTTGGTTTTTGAAGGGGGGTCGTGTGATTTTCTTCGATTTATCTTTTGTGTCCCAGGTGTGTTTCCTGTGGGCTACTCGGTATTTGTTGTAGCTGGGATGCCTTGGCATAGGCTTCTTCGAGAGTTCTTGGTTTGCGTAGGGTTACGGCCTTCTGGCTTTCGACGTTGAGGCCCGTCATAAATTTCTCGATTTTGGTTGACTCTGTAGGTACTAGCTTGAGGAACTGTTGGTAGTATTTTGTGATTGGGGTTGCTCCTTGTTTTAGGTGGAGGAACTCTTCGTATATGGCTGCTTTTATGTGACTGAGGTAGAACCGTTCCCGTAATCGTGCTTTTAGGGCCCCCCAGTTGAATCCTGGTCTTTGCTCGCAACTAGGCTTCTCGTGGACCCACCAAAGGTCAGCTTCGTGTCTGAAGTAGAAGGAGGCTGTTTCTACTCGGTGACCTTCCGGGCACTCTACTGTTTCGAATATTGTGTCAAAAGTTCTGATCCATTCTTCGAGAATTGTGGGGTCTTCTTCCCCTGAGAAGGTAGGCGGCCGATGTTTTGAGACTTGGTGGTTGACTTCCGAGTTTCTATTTGGTGGTGGTGGTTGGAGGATTGTGTTGCTCAATGTCTGAGCAACTTGGGCCAGATGCTGCAGATTCTGAAACAAAGATTCATGCGTGGAGAGTCCTGGTGCATTTGCCTGTTTCCTTGTTGGTGCCATCCTGGGGGTTTACATGCCGATATTATTTTGCATCCTTACCTTGATGTCATGAATGTAGGGGGAGTTCTTTAAATTAAGTGTGAATTAGTGTGAGGGGAAGGTTAGGGGGCTCACAATCTCACCGCGCATCCTAAGATTCCTGAATCCTATGTTCCTAAATACCTAGAGTTCAAGCCTAATGTCCTAAAGTTTGGTCTAAAGAGTCTTATCCTATGGTCAAACTTAGGCTCTGATACCATCTGTAACACCCCAAAATTTTAAAACTTTTCAATCTTATAATATGAAAGCAATTCTATTAAATAAATCCCAAATGGAGTATTCTAAACATAAGGTCTGGGGTGTTATGCCACATCTGACCTGGAGAACATGCACAGGCTATTCTAACTAACTATCCTTTAAACATTGTCATTACATCATCAAGGCGCGCAGGCCGAAAGGAAAGACTAACTATCTAAGCCTAGGTCCTCTAGCGCGCTCCGGTAGCTAATCATCTGTGCCTGAAAGCGAAATATATCTGTTCAGCGAATGATGCTGGTAACCCACTCCAACGCGTTGAAATACAATATAAGTATGTATATATACATAGATATACGAAAACCATTTTGAAGCAGGAAGGTATATGCTTAGGAGACTCTAGCTTTAAAAACCAGGAATAGACTCGACAAATAGAGATAAGCATATTCAACAGTTATTATCAAGCATATAAAGACACTAGCATATATCCTAGGGTCACAGGTTCACTTCACATCGTTCATGAAACACCCCCCAAACAAGGCCCAATAAAAGCCCTAACACATGCAGATTAAACAACAAAACTAGCACATCGGAAGATAAAAACGGAAACTGGATAAAAAGAAATCCAACGGGGTGTTATGCCACGCCTACCAAACCCGGTAAACGCTACGGCGAACAATCTGCAAGTGTATAAAACTATCCCAAAACATCAATCTAACTACACTGGGCGCACAGGCCACAAAAACCACAAGATAAAGGTGCTAAGCTTCCAGGCTCTAGACATCGCGCTCGTCTAAACATCACCTGAAAGATACAAAGATAAACATGCGACGACGCCCAGTCAGCGATAATGCTGGTAACCCACCAATACCGTTAAGTATCATATATAGGTAGTTATAAGATAGAAAACCATTTTCGAAATGGAATACATAAGTATATAAGTTAAAAGCCAAGATCGAAAGATAACACAAGACTCATCACTCTCAAAGATAACACCGGGAACACATCCCAAACCACAAAGGTTACCACAACACGAAGGAAATACAACTCACCCATGGCAACACATGCCCTTGTGACTACACACGTCACAAGAAAGAGAAGTCACCACAATGGCTACACAAGCCCTCGCGACATCACCCATCACGAGTTGATATGCCTTCCTTATGCCCTGTTCCAACCTTATGGCTACCCCCAACCTTATACCTTCTTCCACCATTACCTCCAGGACCTCTGTACAGCCAAGTCCAGCCTTATTCCGCCAAGACCGTCGTCCCCCACCAACAACCCGCCTATAAGACCACCAATTTCATAGTACACGAGGTACCGTACACACACATGGCACACATGCCCGGATAACACATGTTATCCCCCAATCACGTGAACCTTTCTCGAAAGAACACAGCTCCATAATCACGTCACGGCCACCACGAGGACCGCTGCAATACCTTGGTGACTAGCGTCCCATACTACTAATCGTGCAATCTAGGTAAAGTCACACACGCACAACACTCACACGAGCCAAGCACGGATTACAACGAAGATATGAAACATACTCAATCAAGGAATGAGTCACCACCCAACGACAACAACATTGTATAACACAAGTTAACATCAACCACACGGAAGGTACGAACAACACACACGCTAGCATTAAGACAACAAACTAGCATGCTTAACAACAGGGAAACTCAAGGTAGTTCCGAGGAACACACAAGAAACCTCATGGTTCAACAAAGCACAATGTTGAACACTTAGAACGATTCAAGACACCAAAGAGCCTACATGGATACCTACCATATAGTTCTAGACCTACGAAACATCAAGAAGACACTCTAATAGTTCCACAAAGGAACAACGGGAAGTCAAAAGATCAAATACCGAGACAACCGAATCACGGGGAACAAATCCCACTCCAACTCCAACCATGTACCCGCGGGTGGACTCACGGGTAGTGCCCCACCCATGGTTCCGCCCGCAAGAACAATATCCCACGAGGCTGTGTACCCGCGAGTAGGCCGACGGGTGGTGCCCCTCCCGCCGTTCCGCCCGCGGGAACATACCTGTTCCACAACTAATCCCTTTGGGGATTTTCTTCTCCAACACAAATTCATGTCCAAAACATGCCAAATCTCACCAAATACAACAAAATGACTTGAACCATGGAAAATGCCAAGCAATGGCACAAAGGAACCCTAAACACAAGCTCTAGATATGCAATATCATAAGATAAATGCATAAACACTCATATTTCATAGCAAAGCACAAGTAGAATCCAAGAAATCACATATAGGTAAGCAAAATAGGTTTTGTAGAGCATGGGTTACCTCTTGTAGACCAAAAGACTTCACTTTACACCACAACAAGCTCCCCACAAAGCTTACTTCTCAAACCCACTTCAAGATCAAACCAAAAGATCATAAAGATCCTACCGTTAAGAAAAAGACAACTAAGATAGAACCAAAAAGACTAGACAAGCTTAGATCTTACCCTCCTAGATGCCCAAATAGGTGAAAGGTTAAATCTTGGAAGCAAAACTTGGAATCTTGACAAGGGTCTCAACTTGGCTTGAAGAATAAGCTACTCTTCTTTTCTAGAGAGAAAATGGAGATATTTTCTAAGGATTGTAAGGAATGAAATGAAGAAGTCTTCTAGGTTTAGGTTACAATACTAACTCTTGATGAAAAGACAAGGATACCCTTACTAAGCTTTAGAAAGTGTAAGGAACAAGGGAACTCCTCTCAAAGCACAAGGTACAACACAACTTAAAGATTGACTAGTCAAATTCTAGTCCTTGAGTATTAGAAATTAGGATTTTAGGAATCAATTCCTCAAAAGAATTAGAATTAATTACTCAATTAATTCATGGATTGAAATGTGGATTTTTGGGGTGTCACATCCTCTCCCCCTTCAAAGAAGCTTCGTCCCCGAAGCTTGGGAACGACGAATTAAAAGCGAATGGTAACAAGGAAACAAAATTGTGACAAGAAGTTCAAGAATTGTCCTTTTGGTAAAAAACTCCAAAAGTACTCACAAGGGTTCCAAAGCAAAGAAGAAGGCATTTCGAATTCATGGATTGGTCAAGAGCAAAACAAACGGATAGATTGAGCATCACAAACTCTAACCTCAACATAACCACCAACTTCTAGACAACAAACAAGAACCAAACAACTAACTCCAAACGCCAACTTACTAAGCTAGCTAAACAACAAAACAACAAGCAAAACAAACAAGCACGCAAAGCAAACAACAACCTAACACTAAGCTAACAACGGCTAAGAAGAAAACAACAAAGGAACAAGGCGAACGGAACAACCACAGCACAAGCTAGAACTCTTCACTCTCCGACTCCTCAGCATCTTCAGACTCTTCGTCTTCATCTTAGTCTCTACGGCTAGAACTAGCTTCAAACTGATCCAACCTCTGATGCACTGCGACAAACTGCGCCTTCATAAACGCGAAACCCTCGGCGATCATGCTGTTTTGCTGACGAAGCAAGGTGACAGCGCGCTCCTCATGCGCCCTGGCATCATGCCCTCTCTTCGTGCAAGCTTCACTCCTTCTCCGGTTTTCCTCACTGTCTGAATAACTTTCTTCAGCTTCGGCGGCCTCTAGTGCTTCTACTTCCTCTTCAACTTCTTCGTCACCGCCCAAGCTCTGGACTGCGAGGCTCAACTTCCCGGCAGGGATTCCAAGCTCGGCAGCTAACTCTGCCCGCTCATCAGGTGCTTTCCTTGCAACCTCTTCGAGCGTGATGTACTCACCATCAACCAACTGGAACAGATTACAACTCCGGAGTTTGGCGGCATCCAACACCATCTTTCCCACAGCCTTCGGGAGACAACCATCCACACTAACACCCTTCTTAACCAAGATCCAGCTCAGCACCATCCCATAAGGCAAACTCTTACGATTGTGATCCCGGCAAAACACCATGTGTTGAAACATCAAAGCAGACAGGTTGAACTTAACCTTGTTCTTCAGACAGAAAGCAAAGGTGCACTCCAACTTACCCAACAGGCTGCTCTTGTTGTTATTAGGCAACAAACAATCTGACACCAACATCACCAAGATCTTTTGCTCAGCAGACAACCACTTCTTTTCCGGCCTAGAGGCTTGAGTGAAACCACTCGTACGGCCTAGCAAGTAGCTCAAATAGTTGCGGTACCCCATGGTATCCGTACTAATCCAAGAATGGCCACTGTACTGAGCTACACCGGTAGCAGACAAACTCAACAACTGAGCCAACCTCTTCTCAGAAAGCACAACTTTCACACCTCTCACCTTAGAGGTGATCTCAAGCCTTTCTCCTTCCTTCGTCACAACCATGTGACGGTAAAACTCTTTCACCAAACTCGGGTAAGTCTCGGCCCTTATGGCGAGAAACCCATCCAACAAACCTTGAAACTTAAGCAAATCCAACAAGGAACTTGAAAAAGATTTCAGATCAAAAGCTTTACCTTCAAGCACAAGGTAGTGGGCATCCATCCACTCCGCTTTCCTAGCCAAACTTGACCTTCTAGGCATGGTAGGAGATGATCCAAAGCTCAACAAACAAAGCCCAGAACTTCTACTTCACACCCAGACTACTTCTCACTCTCTCGAGCTCTCTCACTCTCTCGCGCGCTACTCTCGGCGACACGGCACAGCAGATCGGCGACGGCGGTGGTGGGGCGACGGGTTGCTGGTGATGAAGCTACGGGTTGGGGATGGGGTTTAGGGTGGTTCACGGGTAGGAAGAAGGAAAAAGAAGAAGAGGAGGAAATTTT